TATATATATATATATATATATATAGGGATCATTCAATGAAGAATTGATTAGTTTGCGATAACCGTAATATCCAATATGCATCACTCGTTCGCAATATTTAAGGATATTTTCTTAAATAAGCTAAAAGAGTAATATAATAATTATATTTTTGATAACTAATAAAAATATTTAATTAAATTTTTTAGAAGGAAATGTTTAATTAAAATTAGTTATCTAATGTATCAATTCTCTAATATACATTGTATGTTGAAGACGTTTGTGAATCAAAGTGTATCATAGTGATAACGTTCACAATATTTCACGTGTATCACAATGTGTTTTTTTGTTTTATGAAATGTATCGTAGTGTGTATTTTCGTTATTTTCATTGCTTTACAAAGGTATCACATTGTGCATCTTGTATGTATATCTGAGTATCACAATGAATTTATATGTATCATAGTGTGTATCTTGTGTTCACATAAGTTTCATCGGAATAAGGTTTACCGAATAAGATTTGTCGGAGAGAGGAAGAAGGAGAGATGAGAGAGGATATCTATAAAATCCTTAAAATGCTTTGAATTAATATTTTAAGTTAAAATTACCAAAATTATTAATTTCTTAATTTAACCTTTGATTTGTGGTTGAGATTGGAATGCACGGTTACCACAAACAAAACAGTTCTCATTTGATTAGGCTCATATACACACACTCATTTAACCTTGTTATGTTCGACTCAGTAAGGTAACTGAAACATTAGGCACATACCAAAGTATGTGTCTAGTAAACGACCTTCAAGTGTCATCATTCACTAGACAAGTTAGGGACATTTCAATCATTTTATTAATGTTCTTATAAAAAATTTATAATGTACAAAGTATCAAAGCATATGTAAAGCATCTGTAATATACTAAAAGAACAAAAAAAAAAAAAAAACAATGCCTCCTTCCAGATCTATGACGACAGATCCAATTTTGATAAGAGCTCCACAATTAAACAGATATCCACAACGATTTGTACGTTTATGTGCTCGAATGAGTGATTTAAAAGTTTGGAATAAGGCTTGGACCTTTGAGAATCCTCCTTAGAGGTTGTTGGTTCGATCCTGACCATTGGAGATTTTTCTGGCTCTTCTCTAGGGCCCTTGGGATTAGTCGATGTGCGAGCAAGTTGGTCCGGACATCCATGGTTAACAAAAAAAAAAGAGTTTGGAATACAAGTTCGACATGGAGCCACATAGTCACGCTATCCATTTCTCTGTCCGCATACATACCCAAATCTGCAACCCAAAATATCTATGAATTCCTGCACCTGAACTAGGCAGACACGCAAACAAGATGGAAATGCATACGCTCTAACTAACTGTGTTTCTAGCGTAAGTTGTCAGTCAAATTAACAGATGTTAACAAATGGAGATGGTGCGTGACCGAAGGTGGAGGTAGTCATCGGATATAGGTGAACGATGTGCACAGACAATGAAGGGTTCTTTTTGTTTATAAAAGACTTTAATAGCTTGTACTCAAGTTGTAATCACTTGTACAATAACAAGTTGTAATCACTTGTACAATAACGGTCCCTGATAACAGACTTCAGGGGAAAGGACGATTTTGTAATTTCATAGAATTTAGGGATAGATGGTAGAGTTTCCACAAACTTTAGGGATGAAATATGCAATTTAGTATAGATAATTAATATGAACACAAGTTGTAAGCGGAGAGAAGTTTCGTTTAAATAATTGAGTAGAATTAAAATTGCAATATGAAAATTCTTGTTCCAAGATTTCGGCTAACGGCTGGCTGGCTGGCTGGCTTCATATTATTTGAAAAAGAAATAGAATAATAAATAATTTAGGTGGCAGCTCGACTAAACTCTTCACTTGTTTATTTATGTCTATTTTTCAATCAATATTTATTCCACTCATAAATAAAATCACGTTGGATCCATGAATTCCTATTTAGTTTACTTAATATATATATATAAAGAGGGGTAGAAATGTGAGTTATTATGAAACGCTTTACATTTATATAATCAATACAACTCAATCTCAACCGTTCATTTAATTTGATGAATATGTGATTTTATAAAAGTTTTGATTGTTTTCTAATATAAAATATCGATCATACTTAATATTTCCGCACATAGTTTTCCTTCTATTCATGCCTAACACTTAATCGGCATATGTTCTTATACCAGATAAAGTCTTCAAGTTTTGATGTTAATTTTCAAGGTATCCATCAGTTTCAGGCCTTATAAAGCGGTGTTTAAAAAGATGCGTCATGGTGTAAGACGCATCTCCACCGTTACAATAAGATTTGTAGCATTTGTGTAAGGCGTGATTCACACCATGGCGCCTTGAGACGTGCCGTGACGCACGTTTTTTTCAAGGCTTGACTTTTTTCATTTATTTATTATTTATTTAACTTTTGTGCTTTTTACATCTTTAGCTTTAGATTTTGCATTTTTACAGACTCACCTAATCAAATGATTAATAGTTTCATGGTTCATGCATGTTACAAACTCACAGTTAAAACGAAGTTGTAAAACTCTTTTGAATTATATTTTGAATATTTGATCACAAACTCTTTATATAATAGTACTTAATATTTATATACTTTTTTTTCTTTCTAATATGAACGTAAAATTTTAATATCATTATATTATTGAATAATAATATGAAGAAATATATGTATATATATAATTATATATATGATACACAGATTTGTCGTTTTATTTCATGCCTTGACAAACATTGCTTTCTCGCCATAGTGTAAGTTTATAGTTTGATCTGTCATCACGTCACATCTCACACCATTTTGAATTTTGCTTGTAACATAGATGACACCCATTCTAAGAAGACAAACAAAAGATAGAACCACAAGAGTGGTGTCTGATTGGTTTGAGCTTGGCTCCAAAGGTCAAAAGTACTTGGAGGTCCCAGATTCAAATCCAAGAAGAAAATAAATCCCCTTGTGGCCATGGAGGTTCAAATGCGGTGACTCCGGACTATCTGCAAAGCAGATGGTCGCCTTGGAATTAGTCAGCTCGCATAACGGATTGGATATCCAGGTAAATTAAAAAAAAAAAAAAAAGACAAACAAAAGATAGCCAATTAAGATACAATTCAATGATGAAATATAAATCCAAAATTACAAAATGAACATTTAGTTGTAACAAACTAACCCTTTCTTTTGTTTTCTATACAAATCATAAATAAATTCAACTTTTAGAGCACTAATTTTTGCTCTGACTAAAAAGATACGTTACGAATTCTAATTTAGTTTGATTAGAATTCGTAACTCATATCTTTATACAATATGTTAATTAAACATGATGAGATTATATTTATAGATATATATATATATATATATATATATCCAAAGCTAATTAAACTTAAATTCATTTTTATGATGGATATGAAGAAATTAAGTTATGGGGTATGCAAGGAGAATTATTCCAAACCCTAGCATGCATCTTCAAAATCTCCATAGCTTTCTCCTTCATCTTGCTCCCACAATCTACTTGCAACACCAAACACAACTTCCCCACCACCCCTAACTGCAACATCTCCACCACCACACTGGTGTTGCCGGAAAACTTCGCTACCGAATGCAATATCCTCACCGCCCTATCACTGGCCACCGGCGAAATGCGAAAGATCCTTTTTGAAACCACCGCTAAACCTGCCCCATGTTTCAACAGCTCCGATCGGCCTTCAGCACACTGACAAAGAAGATCTAATGCCAATAACACCATCTCGGAAACCCTCTTATCGGTGGAATCTAGTAAGATGTCGATTAACGCTGGAACCGCTGCAGCCTCCGCCGCTCTTATCCTATTCCGCCCCCATAGACAGACGTTGATGAGTAACTTCAATGTCGCTTTGGTGGCTTTTTGGGAAATCTGATCGACCAAGATGTTCACTAACTCCGTGAAGAATTCTGGCTTCAAAGACGACGTCCTCACCGGCATGTGCTGCGCGGCGTCGAACATCGACTTCAGCAACAAGACGGCGAATGTCCGTGACTCATAGTTGGCGGTGGCGCATTGCATCACGCGCGTTAACGTATCAACGAAATCACCACCCTTGGCGAACAAACCCTGAAGTCCATTTTGGGATAGATGCATGTGATATAGAACAGCTAACGCTTCATCCGCCGGCGTCGCCAAACCGAAACGTTCAACGTCGTCGTCGGAGTATTCTCCCGCCGGCGAAGATGACGTTAAGTTATTCTGGTCGTTTATTACATTAACTAGGTAATCAACTGCTCCAACTGCCTCCATTGACCTCTTATTCGTTTCATTCTCCAAAACAATCAATTTCAATCTCTTCAAAGTCTTCATCTGCAAATTGGGATACTTCAAATCTTTCAGAAGTTTAAGGATCTGGGGTTTGGTGATCGGAAGACGAGGCGTGGGGACTCTTTCAACACCCGATAATGGATTAAGGGTGCACCAAGATTGGATCAATCGACGAAGGGTGTGGTTAGGGGTAAGGTCTGCATCTAAAACGACATTTTTGGTTACTGGACAGGTGTTATTTTTCTTAGCAAACAACCATTTCTCGATGCTATCTCGATCATATGTGATCCCTGTAGGAAGAGTTACAGGATCTTTCATGATCTCTAAAGAGATTGGACATACGAAAAATGGAGGAACTTCCACATCATTTTCAAGATCACCCATGGAGGATTTCAAGAAAATATTAATTGAGAAAAAAAGAATCGAAAATTGAAGGATTTCTTGAAGTGGGTTTTCGTTTGTGATTTGTGAATATTTGTTATGAAGAATAAAGTGGGGGTTTTTATGCATATATATATATATATATATATATGGTGGGGGATGAGTGAGAAGAAGGAATCATAAGTGTTTTTTATATTTAAAAAATAAAAATAAAGAAAAAGTAAACCATATTTTTGGTCAAAGAGAGGTGGGGTTTGACTTTTCAAATATATTGTGAGGCTCAAGATGGAGATCACATAACTTGGTCATAAATGCATGTGCTAGATAAAGTGTGGGGGGCAAAGTGTGAAGGATAAGACTTCTCTTCTTTTATAAAGAATGTTACCATTTATGTCCTTCAATTTTTCAAACTTTTCATATAACCCCTCATATTTGAAATTTTATAAATAGGATCATTTTTTTAATCATAAATTATCTATAATGGTTTTCTTTTTAGAGCTTGTTATTATTCTTGGATTTGTAACGTTTTTTTTTTACCGTAAATGATGTGTTGTTTAATTATCGACATATGGTAAGTATTTTTAAGGATGTTGCATATAGCACTGATGATGTAATTTTCAATTTCTTTTTGTTTATTTAGCTTTTCTAGTGCTATTATTGCTTTATGTCCTCCAAAGGTGTTGCAAGATTTGAATGTTGCTAGGTTAGTTTATGTCATGTTTTCGGTTCTTTTTTTAGTATAAACACGGGGCTACTATACGTTATTGTATCAATGATACATGCCCAGATCGTCTTTGAATTGTACAATGTGTTCTCTATACTTTCTATACATTGTTCTTTGCTTTGTTTTTTTCTCGGTTTTGCTTGGGCTCTCGAACATTTGCATGATTAATGTTGTGTTGGTCTCCTTCAAGTTCGCTTCGCTTTCTAATGTTGGTTTCGGTCTCTTAACCGTTCAAGCACTGTCTAGCTTTCTCAAGCAACTTTCTTTTTATGCCTTTTAGCTTTGATCTAGGTTGGTTCCGTTGTTGATTCAGCTTTGTGTTTTTCAAGTTTTAGATGCATTTGTTTCAGTTTTTCTTTTCAATCGTTGGTTATCATTATTTAATAACCTGATAACTAAAATCATCTGGGAGCGATATCCAAATACAAAAGAAAGTTAATTACGGGTAAAAATATGTTACATACCTAGAAGAAAGTTACTGTTGAGATGTGTAATTCAGCTATAAATCCATGAAAAGTTCCTCCACGTTATTAGTGTATGAACGTATCAGTACAAGGGTAAAAGTTGACGAACATAGGAAACGGTAGACGGTATGTTTTACATGAAACATCATCCCCAACTAGCTTCATTTTGTGACGTAAAACAAAGGGTACCAATTTGTAAAAAACAAAAACTGTGGTAGCATATTTGAAAATAATGGGAAGTTTTTGAATAGCTGCAATAGCACCTAATAAAACTAGTTTGACTTTTCTCCCTCTCTATGTAGATATAAAAAAGTCAACCTTTTGCTCTTGAACCCATCGATACTCGTGTCTTCATTTTGAAATGTGGCTACCGACAGATGATAGTTGGATTTGGATGGTTGCCTCTTGCTTTACAATTAAGATTTCCCTAATTTATTCCCACTTTATTTCTCATATTTATAATTTTATTAAATCTATATTATATTATAAAACATTTGATAAAAAATTTAAAAATTGTTTTTATGCATGAAGTACTATTTATTGATGTATGTTACTTAAAATTCAAATTTTCAAGTAAATTGAACGTATATACAACTTATTAAAGATTCATGTTTGAATTCGTGTAAGTAACTGCAGATAAACATAATCAAATAGAGGATAAACATCTCAATTTAAATATAAAAAAATAATAATTAAGATAACCATTGAGTTTTAATAAAATATTTAATTATTATATTTATAAAAAAATTATATTATTAGACCATAAATCAAAAAAAGAGTTATAGATATACACAAAAAATGATAAATTTTAAATAGTTAGTTTGTTACGAATATCAATATTTTTTATGATAAATCTTCATATTTATATGTTATTCAAAAATAAAAACATTATTATTTTTCTCAAAACCATATAAAACTGTAATATAACATCGACTGAGACAAAAAAATAAAACTTTAAAATCTAGATGTATCTCGCTACATTGTGCGAGTACCCTCCTAGTGATAATAAAATTAGTTTTAAAGATTATATCAATAAGTCAAAAGGTGTTACATTTTATATGCTTTATATAAATCTAGTATTTTATTTGGATCGAAAAATGTAACATATCAAAAACAACGTTACTTAATATGTATATATAACAAGATTAGGCTTTTAGGACGTTCAAGTGCTTATATATAGGTGCTTTATAAAGAACTTTAACGAGACACTATTAAGTTATATATAATGATATTACAATAATTTGTTACAGCAAAGTTAGACGACATAACAAGTTTTATCGACACAGTCAAACAAATCTAATAGAATACAAGAAGTAACTTATCTTATTGGTATATTATTATAGAACGGTTTATTTTTTGAGTAATCCTAGGTTGTTCAATATTCGACAATATTAATTACTTATTATGTCGTCTAATTAACTTCATGTTAGTAACTTACTGTAACGTATTGCATATGAAGTATAATTGATTGATCGTTGTAGTGATTTATACACAAACGATTAACTTGTAGAATTTAAGAAATTTATTGATTATTTGTAAAGAAAAAATTGAGTTTATCGTCGTCGATGTTGATTGTAGCAATAACGACAAACACTATGAATATATATACGACAAAAAAGTATCATCTATCACTAGTGGATTCTATATCGTTTTTTGCCTCTGATCTTGATTTGTCACATCCTTGTTGTGGATTTCACTATCTTGACCCGTTTGTCGTGACACTGGTTCGCTTTATGCATTATATGTGTTGAAATTTTTTTATACTTAAAAAGCCGGAACTAAAATTATAAGGAAATAGTATCGAAACATATAATTCTTTTTCAATAACTGTAAAAAAATGGTTTCTTTATTTAGAATAAATATACTGTTCATATGCAACAAACAACAATTCACAACTAAAATATTTATTGTTCAACCGGAGAGCAAAATTTCAGTCACTTGCATCATGGAAAAAAGTTTCCAATCATATAATATTCACAAATAAAATATTTTTATATAAACGAATTTGTCAAAAAGATGTGAACAAGTCCAGATTCTTTCGGTTAATATTTTATTATCTCCAGTAATTTACGGAATTGAACCTTATACCATTACTAGACTTTTTCCCTTTGGAAAAATTACATTAATTTTGATTTACTAACGTAAAGTATTCCTAACCAATTGGGTTCTTTTTTTATTTTATCTATGGATGTCTAGATCAACTTACATATATCTCGACTAATTCGAACGATTATAAGAAACAGCCAGAAAATTTCTAATGATTTTATATTCTTCAGATTTGAAACCAGTAAAAATGAATATTATTTGATAAAAGATTAAATTTACAGAGATTCGTTGGTTATGATGATTTGGTTGGATTGGTTATTGATTACGTATGTTTAAAAATTTCATGATTTAAACGACTATTTCGGTTTGACTTGACCAAATAAACGGTCATGAGAGTTTTCAAGATGTTGAATGTTTAATATTAAGTTTTTGGGTTTAAAAAAAGATACAAATTAACAAATTTTATTTGGTGAATATATAATTAACGTTATGAGTTGTATATTTAAATGAAAGCATTCAAAATGTTGAAGGGTTCACATTAAATAATATATAAAACAACGTAGATTGAAATGTTCGGGTAGTTTTCAAGTCACTGATTTTTTATTTAAGAATGGATTCACATTTTATTTACTGAAAATGTCAATTTTAATTATATACAAACGAGACCTTCCGATCCAAACGTTTAATTGTGTGCATCTCCATTTTACGAGAACGCAAGAACACTCTTATCACGTGTGATAATACGCGTGAGAGGACTATGTGATGTGCGGACGACGTGTTCTACGACTTAGGTTGCGCCAAAGGTTGTATGTGTCTATAATTTAGCATCACATGTGATGGTTTTGATGGATTATAATATCATATCAACAACACTTTTATCATATGTGATAATACTTGTGAGGGGGCTTAGTGGTGTAAGGACGACTTGGCCCGCAACCAAGATCACATCGAAAATCGCTTGCGTCTTTGATTTAGTATCGTATGTGATGAAATAATAGTATCACATGTGATTGTTTATAGTAAAAAGGTGTTTATACGTTCTCGTAAAATGAATGTGTTCTCATTTAAACCCTTTCCTATGTGTGTGTGTGTGAGAGAGAGAGATAAAATCACATTATGATAATATGCAACAATAAAACAACATTGTTTAAGTTAAGTTACAAATTGACACTAAGGTGACGTTTTGTTTTTTAAAAAGTGTTGAAATTTGAAGTCTGATTTCACTCTGATTTATAAGAAGTGATGCTGAAGTCTGAAATTCAGAGCAGTAAGACTGTTTGTTTTTACGTTTGAAGTCTGAATCGTTCAAATTAATGCAAAAATATAAAAGATAAATAATATTTTTTTACAAAAATATAAAAGATAAGTAGTTTTTGCTGACAAATCTCTTTCAACCCCGAAAAATGGACCATCTGATAGAGGGTGAATTAGAATTATTAGGTATAACAGATGTTTACCACTTAAAAATTCAGATGACATTTAAAGCTCTTAAGCTCTTATTTTGAAAAAAAAATCGTTCTTAATACCCAAATGTCTGAACGAATCAAACTTCAGAGATATTAAGAGACAATTTTGAAAAAATAAACATGCCCTAACTCTCAAGTTATAAAATAAGTAATAAAAAGCTAAAATTGGTGATACAAAATTTGAGTTTTTAGAAAAGATTAGCGTATGATTACAAAAACATAACCTAAGTAATGGAATGCTACATTTCGTACAAAATATAGGGATGTGCATCTGTCAGGACAGATGAGTTCGGGTGGGCAAATAAAAAACCTGATCGTATTTCGGACATGGAAACCAAACTTTCGAATTTTGAGTTTTGGATTTCAGGTATAGTTATATGAATATATATATATATATATATATATATATTTAATCGATTGAGATGATTGATTAAATCGATAGTAGATTGAGAAATTATAAAATAGTATGACCTAGAATTTAGTATTTTGGAAAGATAATTAAATAAATAAATATATTTATATAAAATTTTAATATATATATATAACGGGTTTTCAGACGAGTCAGATGACAAAAAATAAACCCAACTCGAATCCAAATATCTGTGATCAAGTTTCAGATTTTTGGATCCAGATGAATCCGTATTTTATATTTTATGTAAGGATTATTTTTTATAAATACTTTCTTATGTAAATAATAATATTAAATCTTTTGTTAAAAAAAGAGTATTATATTTGTTTTGGAAAATTCCGATTTTTTTGCAATTAAAAAAACGAAACATGTTTATATACAAGTTGTTGGACTAAAAACAAATTATTTGGATACTCTAAATAATAAAATAATAATATGAAACCAACTCGATTCTAGCCGTAGCCAGCGAGCTTTGCGCGTGTATTCAGTATTTTAGCCGTAGCCAGCTAGCATTGCGCTTGTACTCTAGCCGTCGCCGAAGCCACGGAGTCTTATGCGGTACCTGATGTTTAGCTCTTTCCTTTTTACCTTTTTTACCTTGTAGTCCTTCATCTTTAAAATTACACACTTTATCCCCCTTTATTTTTTAAATTGACATAATTGATAACTTCATATATTGTGATAAATGTGAAAATTATTATCATATGATATTATTTCATATGATTTTTTCATCTAAAAACTATAATTTAATATATTGATTAATATATAGTTGTTTCACATGTATTCGGTTCACTATGTGAAAAGTTTTAGGTGTATTTTTTGTTTTACAAACATATACAAAATGTTTATATTATGAAACAAATATATGTGAAACAAACGTATTATGAAACAAATATATGTAATTCAATACACTAAGTTCAAGCCGTAGATGGAAAAAATTCACATAAAATAGCACATGATGTACCGGTTCTCAAACTTATCAAAATTTTACGAGTTCTCAAATGAAGGCCTCAGTAGAACTAAAATTCCAAAACATGTGGTAAATTGCAACATATAATAACGTAATATTATTTCATTTTTCGTTTGCTTATTATACTTTAAAATCAGTTACTAAATTCATCAAACTTTCAAAAACTATTAAAAATTATTAAGAATTTCAAAAATATTTTTCTTAGTGGATTTTATAATATAATTTAAAATTCATTGATTAAATGATAAATGAAAACATGTTATTGTTTATTATAATTCGACTTAAATCGTAATTCCAAAATTTTACCAATAAATGTTGTTGGTGAAGTCGAAATGTTTAGTTTGATCGTTGTTTTAAGGGCACGAGATGACATTTAAGGTGTCTTTAACGCCATGTAGTCCGAATGGTAACAGTGTTAGTTTTTGTAAACCATAACGACTCAGTGTTGGGAAAGTAGATCTTAGGGCTTACATGCGTTTAATTTTTAGTAAGTTCTTGTGAGGATATCGACCTTTTATGAAATATCAGACAATTCTGAAATTGATAAAATATAGATATTTTGTATTAAAATCATATCTGATCAATATTTTATCTGTGTCTGTTGGACATGACCATTCGAACTTTATGGAACACTAAAACTGCATAAACCTCAATAATCCTTTTGTAAAACAAATTTCAATAGGTCTCTTTTCAAGTTGTTCATAGGAATGCATTGTTTTTTATAAGTTTTTAGCATGGACGGACTTAGGGTAGAGCATACGGTGGCACGTGCCACCGTATTATTCCTCCGTCGAAGCGTAAAAAAATTAGGTTCGTGAAAGGTGCTATTGTATTAATTTGTTGTGTGCTATCGTATGTATTTTTAAACTACAATGAGAACAAGCTTTATTTGGTAGAGTTGGTTTGCAATACTTTTATTACATTCCAGACCCAAGTTCGAATCTTGTTCATGTCATTTTCTTAGTCAAATGGTGTCACCGTTTGAAAAAAACTCTATACATTTGTTTCTTATAATCAAATGGTGTCACTGTTTGAATTTTTTTTCCTATTTTTTTTTCTTATAATCAAACGATACCACCATTTGAAAAAATTTCTGAGTTCGTCGCTAGTTTTTAGTTTGTTTTTTAAGTCATAATTGATACCACTCCCAATCCCATTGAGGGATTGGGTACTTGGGTTTCATCGGATAATACGGGTAGAGAGGGTGGGTTAAAGGCAACCCGAACCGACGATGGTCCACCTTAGCATTCCTCTGCCTGCAGGTGAATCTAAACAAGGAAAATTCACCCGAATCTCATGTCCACATTCCCGAGGATAACTGTAGACGAAACTGCAAGTACAAGGTAACTGCATCCACTCATTCATCCTACAGTAAATAAAGCCGTTTCCTTTGTAAAAATTGAAAGGAGAACTCTGTTGGTACGGTGCTGAATGTAGTAGTACGTATCTTTGTTTATAGAATCACCTGTGCTTGTGAATCTGTAATAATACATCCTTCGAACATGTTTACGCTGCGAAATCGAAATTTTCGATTTTGGGATTTGTGTCTGCCTAAAACTTATTAAATACTCTTCCATTTGTATTTGCGAATCGTGTCATCTTTTTGTGCCAAGTGTTTGTATTGATGATCATGGAAAGCAATAAGCTTTATATATTTGATTCAGATGGAACATAAATCTTTTGGATTAGAGAATAGATTGTCTCTTTAGACTTTGATGCGCACAAGGTGTTTGTCAAATGGTCTGAAAGAGTAACCTAAATGCGAGGTTAAAGTAAAGCCAGCATCACTGAGGTGTTTGTGGAGTGGAAGTAATTAGAACCGGAGGGTGCATTTCTTGTTTTCTTTTACTTATTCTACTCGGGCTTTCACTTGAATTTGTGGGTTTATTATGAAGGTCATGGACTGATTAGTAGTAATTATCTATCCAGAAAATTGGGTGAGTGAATGTTTTATAATATCATGTTGCTATACTGATCACTTTGCTGCATTTTTCTTGCGGTCTGCTCATATGGATGGTTTTTTTCAAACCAAATGGTAACATTTAGGCTCAAACATCATTTCTTTTGTGAGAAAATATCTGGCTGCCTTGTGCAAATCTGACATAGTGCTTGTAAGTTGTAATGTGGTTTGCTCGTAGGGGAATTTAACTAAATATTTGATATGTTGACGTTTATTTTTGTTAGTATCATCTAAACAAGTCAACTTATCCATGTGTTACTCATTCTTGCTCTAAAATCATCAAATATATTTTCTTATGCATGCGGGGATCGTCATTAATTCCTGTGAATAGGTGAGATATTATGGAGGTTTGCGGGACATAAATAATGTAAGAATAATAACTGAAGACTATTAGTGGCAGTTTTATATTTCAAAGATCTAATGAATTGATGTCAAGTTATAGTGAATATTGAATTTACTCTAAACATGTTTATATGCAGCTATAGCTAAATATACACTTTCATCGAAGTGATACATTTTTCTTTTGTTCTCATGTGTCATAGTGCCTTCAAGACACGATTTTCGTTCTGGGTCTTTGCTGGAGCTTTGTGTGAGTTTTATTTTTTCCTTCTTTTAGTATGTCATGGTCATCGTGGAGCACTTGAAAGTTGAAACATACCCAGCATAGCAATGATGGAGTCTGTTTGAAGGTTTCTGGTGACTATGGTGAGGATTTATTTTGTATCATTTGCTGTCAATTTGGGTTTATGTAGAAAGCTTTACCACTCAATCTACCGCTCAAATCTTGTATTTCAGGGCACTGCAGTGAATTCTCTAAGCAGGATTGGCGATCGATCTACTAGTGATGTTCTTGCAAGGCTAAGGACACCTGATGGCCGTGATGAGTGGATATACTGCCATTCCCACATTCTTATTGAAAAGAGCAAATATTTTGCTGATCGTTTATCTGAGAGTTGGCCCACATGTCAGATTCTCGATTCTCGCAATTGTGTTGAGATCTATTGCCAAGAACATGATTTTGATTACCACATCACCGTCTTACGACTCTTTTATGTCAGTATTGGGTGTTCTGTAACTGATATGTGGCATGGTGTAAAAAACGCCCTTGGCATTCTCCAAGTGGCAGTTGAGCTTGGCTGCCCAGAAATTGTTGCTACCTGTGTCGAGTATCTGGAAGCATCTCCTTGGGAGGAGGCCGAGGAGGAAGAGATTTTGAAAATTATTCCTGGCATGGGTTTGTTAGCAGAACCAATCCTTTCACGCCTCCAGCCTGTAAATCCGCCTGCTATAGTTAAGATTTTTCTCTCGGCCACTAAGTTTGCCACATCATCACTGCCACCAACGATGAGTGATTTGAAAACCTCGGCTCAGGAACAGATAGAATACATGCTTACGGAAGATGATGATGCTCCATTGCTAACAGCTGATGAAGAGATCAAATCTAAAGTGAGACAATGTTTCAAAGGACTATTAGCCAGATTCAATGACATAGTGAAATCAGCTTGTGAAACGGGAGAACTGCATCCGTTTCAATGCATTTTGGTAGATATGTCTTGGGCTTGTCAGATATTGACCAAATTGGAAATAATAAAGGATTTTGTCGAGAATTGGATAGAGGTGTCAGAAAACATAGTGAAGGCTGTTCAACAGGTAAGTCAACAAGATGAAATGCTCGAGACAAAGCTAAAGGTTATTGAGGTAGCTTCTAAGGTTTTAGAGGCAATAGGATATGGCAATGTAATTTTTCCTACTGCAAAACGGCTTCATATGGTGAGAATTTGGCTTCCATTTGTGAGGATTATGAAGCCTATGATTGACTCTCTAGCAACTGAGGACAATGACTGTTCAGTAATTAAAATGGATGGCGAGATATGGCAATCTTTGGAGTCTGCATTTGTTTCTATAATTCTTGCATTGCCATCTGGAGAGCAAGCGTCGATTTTAAGTGAATGGTTAGAAAACAAGCATATTCGGTATCCGGATCTTACAGAGGTATTTGAGGTGTGGTGTTACCGATCCAAAGTTGCCAATAGAAGACTTGCACATATAAGGGGCTCCAATGGTACAATAAAAATGCTATGACCCTTCTCTTCTTTGTCAACTAGTCTGCTGACAAAGGTGCCTCATTTTTCTCATGGCCGTAGACAACTAAAACTTTATTTCAAGCGTCTAAGCCAGAGTCTTGCGGAAGTGCAAATGTAAAGCAAATAAGGCGGTCTAATTCGGTGTTACATGTTGAAATTTAACTCAACCTGGTTACTAAATCCACAATCTTTTAATTCTCTGTTACCATTTAGTTATCTTTTCTGTATTTACTACTTTGTTTGTATGAACCAAATATATTTTGTTCAACTATGATTTATATGGAATGAGAAATACAATGAGAAATTTAAATATCATTATGTTTGTGACATCCAATATTCCAATTTATTTCATCTTTCTTTTTCCCATGACAATTAAAGAAAGCAATATGCACTCATTCTCCACAACTTGTATGTTTCAGAGATATTTGCAGTTTTGGTCCAAATTCATTGTGCATGGTTGGTTTTCACTGTTGTTGTTTTTAGTGAATATGTTCTAAATTGGTTTAGCACTTGAAATATTGGGCCATACCCTTTTGTCTGGTTTCTTCTAATAATTGGAGGGTCCTGCTTGTTGGTACCCTTCTGCAAAATTCAGAACTGACCTGTATATGCCATACAGAATATGCAGCATCCAAGAACAGAAATCAATATGTAGATTCATATTATAAACTTTGATAGTAATAACTAATCACCCTTTGGTAGAGACTTTAGCTGTGTTTTTTTCTTCGGCTGGTGCTCTGGGCTCTGGTATGCACTTCGCCGATAAATTCTAGCATGATCAAGGTATGTATTCAAGAATTATTCTTGATTTTGCAGATTGTATTGATCCACTTATGTTATTTTGTGTATTTATGAGGGTGGTGACAGATGGAAATGGCCACTTCGAAAACATTGAATGCATTAAGCACGATATTACCAAACAACAATGAACCCGATAGGGAAAATAACCTAAAAGAACTTTTCTCTGAGCCACTCATTGGTCCCGTATTTAATAACCAGGACCATCTGATACACGGAACTTGTGGGAAATATGGCAGGGTCTCCCTCATTGTTTCGGCTCCAGTTACTTTGAATTTGGGTCTGTCATTATTGCCATCTTTCCTGTTTCTTCAATGATGAACTCTTACTTGAAGGTGGAACAGAGGACTAACCTAACTGCAGAAATAATGCACAGGAAGAATGATCATAATAATAAATATTGTTTTCGTATACCCCCCATTTAACGATATATATAACTAGTTTTACATACATACATACATACAATATGCCTGCCAATCCATCTATGCATCTGCTGATACAAAATTAATATACAGTCCTTAAATCATGGAACGATTCTTGAAAAACCTAATCTGTATCTATAAAGAACTCTAATGGTTCTTGCTCATCAAAGTATAGATCTGTTCTAGGGTAAATCTTGTTTTTATTTCTTGAATTCTTGACAGCACCCATGATCTTGATCAAGCAACAAAATCTGGTAGAGGTTGTGCAGCAAACCTCTTACGGTTTTGAATGGTCATCGACTCGTACATGGCTGCTGAGTGTGAAGAAGATGGTGGATTTATGGCACCAAACTCATTATCTTCTCCTAGTTCTGTTCCTCTGCCGAGTTGGATGTTTTGGTTAGGGAGGAAACTCTGGTGGGTGCCCGATATTGATAGGTTCTCACAGTGTGGTAGGCCTAAGGTCAACGAGACTCCGTTTCCTGAGTACTGCTGTTGGAATTGCTCGGCACTGAACCTTCCAATTTCACCAATTGGGTATCCCCCGAGTCCGCCCATGAAGTCGGTTGGGTTGCCGGTTAATGAAAAACCGCCATCTTGGTTTTGCTGCTGTCTTTCGCTGTTTCTTGGTTTCTTGGGGCTGAATTGTGTGATTCCTTCCATTTCTAAGGAGCCAATGAGGCTGAAACCAGAGGGGTTCTGGAAATTTATTCCAGCAGCAGTGGGAGATGTCGAGACACTGGTGGAAACCGACATTGATGGTGGATGGATGTTTTGGCTAGCATGGTTGAAGGAATTCTCTGGTTTGGTGCATTTGAATCGTCTGTTTGAGTTTTCCGGTGAAAGGCTCTTCTCCAGCTTGGATGACGAATTCTCTTCGTTTTGTTCGCTTTTGCTCATTTTATGATCGTCCAATCCATTCTGTTCTTGTTCCTTGATTTCCTCCAGGTACATCTCCTCCACCATCGGCTTCCATAGCCTCACTCGAGCATTGATGAACCAATTTGAAACCTAGGTTATAACAGAGAAAGATCGTTCAGATTTGAAACAGAAAATGCAAGGGGATGGACAAAACGGGAAAAGAATACCTGACTTCTTGTAAGACCTGTTTGTTTTGCAAGCATATGCTTGTCTGAATCCTTCGGATAACTGAATCAAATTCGAATAATTCAGTTAGAAATCTTCCATTAAATGAAATCTTCTAGAAAAAAGAATTGATCTCTTGCAGGTTTTGATTCTTACGGGTGAAGGAAATGTTCAAAGAGCCAAGCACGAAGAACAGAAACAGATCGCTCGGGCAATCCTCTCTGGGGTCTCCAAGCGTTGTGTTGGATCATTCCCAATTGCTGCAAAGCCCTCTGTTGCCGGAGTTGATTATCTACAAATTTTAGCCTCGACCCGCTTCCATCAGGCTTCCTGCCACCGCCTAAACTGTCTTCTTCACCCAAGCTCCTGCTGGCAGCCTTAATCTGTCCCATAATCGCGTCTTTGAGGCACCTGAATTGCTTCGAGATCGTCTGAAGAGCTAATGCTGTGTAAGTTTTCGCAGACCCRATTCCTGCTGCTTGTTCAAACCAAGAGATCACAATTTGCATCTGATGATGATATTGTCTGTATCTCTGCTCCACCTTCAAAACCCACAAATTTAAACAGAAAATGTTTCAACTTTTAGCAACAGAGTATAGAATTCTGAAAGAAAATGAAATGGTTTTTAGGTGGTACTAGTTTAGTAATTTGAATAAAGCAATTGAAAACAACATGATGGTAACACTTTAGAGGATGTGATGCAACTATGTTGATAAAGACAATTTCTTATTTATTTCTGGGATTAAAATTCCAGCAATTTGATCGGCTACCTCATCAAGCATGTTAACAAGCTTTGCTTTCTTCATCTGAATTTCCTGTCCTTCGGCTGTAGTAAGTTCAGCGCCACCACCAGATTTGCTTCCGGTTTCATCCCTGCTGAGTCCTTCAGTGGTGATAGGTGGCGGTGATCCACCATCACCGCTACCGACGGTCGTGAGATTCTTAGTTGACTGGTCGGAGTTCTTGAGCACTCCTTTACCCACGTTCACCACTTCTTCAAGAATTTCTTGGGTTGCTTTCAGGTACTTGGAATTCAACAGCATGTTATGCATACCGTTGACACTGTTGGAAATCCCAGAAGCTGATGATGTGGTTCCGCCACCGCCAACGGTGGCTCTGCGCTCATCACCGGCTGTCGGAGAAATAGAAGCTACTCTGGCAGCCTGAGACCCATACCTGGATTGCTGAGAAGACAGGCTCAAAGACAGGCCTTGCTGAAACGGTGTGACCTCCCGTGGTGGTGCCACCATCTCCACAGGATTATACATGTACTGGGCTCGTGGGATGAAAGCGTGCAGGGAGGAGACATCATGCTGGGAATGGACAGATGACGGTGGTGATGCAGATAGCGGGATGCCAACAAATTGCTGAGTCTGGGAAGGCGGTGGTGGTGGCGGTGGCGCGTGAGACATATTTGCCTGCTGCTGGTGACTGTTGACCGGATTATTTCCAGGATGGTTGGAATCAAGAAACACGAAGTTCCCAGGCTGTGGTTGATTGGATTGTTGTGCGTCGGAGTAATAAACATATCCAGGATTCATGAGAACTAGTGTCTGCAACCCATCTCCTCCTTGAATTTCTGAACTTCCATTATAGTAGGTCGCCATGGATGTTTTTATATATTATAAGTTTCTTCAATCTGTAAACAAGTATTGTTTTATAATCGCATAAAAGACAGTTGTGTGACTATGAGTAGTCCATGGTAAATAATAAAAAAGAACATGTTTTTACCTGCTGCCTAAGGTAGGGTTTTGTCAACCCATACGCAACTGTAAAAAACAAAAGCAGCTGGAGAAGATCTGCTTCAATTCCCAGAAACTATGATCAAAGAACACCAACGAAATTAATTCAAGAAAGATCAAATGATGACAAGTTTATAAGCTCCCCTGACGGAATAAGTTTCCCAGACCAGTGACCGGTCCGATGAAGAAAGTTAGAAAGAGAAAGAGAGAGAGAGAGAGAGAGGAGTTGATATTAATGGTAATATGATTGGATTGGGGAGGTGTAGAGTGGTACCTGAAGAGAGGGTGGTAGTGATGGAGAAATAATGAGTGTCCACGTGTTGCTCCATCATCATCATCATCATTCAAAATCTGCAGGCATAGATTAATATTCAAGAATAAGCTTTACAGTGACATCTGATCATAGATTTTAATTCCAACAGTCAGAGACTTGAAGAAGGGATCAGAGATAGGAACGGTAGAGAGAAAGAGAAAGTGAAGAGAAGGGGATTTGATAGATAGATAGACATCCACATGTATAACATGTGTCTATATATACGGACACATATATATGTATATAGAGAGAGAAAGCTCTGTGCCAGAGAGACTGGCTGACCATACTCTCTCTAGGCACTCCACTTGTTAAAGAAGGAAGATAAGAAAGAGAGAGAGAGAGAGAGAGAGAGAGAGAGAGAGATGGCCACAACTTACTATAATCTATTTTTTTGCAAACTAATATTATCCATAAAGATATATAGCAAGGATGAATGGAGAAATGTCTGAACTTTTGAAACACAGAAAGAGAAGTCTTATCATTCATCATCAAAAGAAATCTTGAAGAATTTTGATTTCAATATTCATATATCAGATAGAGATAGATATATATACCTGTTAACACGATGGCCTCTTGATATATATATATATATATATATTCTTCAGATAGATATATATGAGCTCTCCAACAGACTTGAAAGGGTGTGCTATGAATGGATGAAAGATGGGAATTAAATTCAAGATTTGACCTTCCTTTTTCTAATCAGTTGATGCAGCAGCTTTGCTGATCATATATCAGCTGCTCTATCTTGGAACAAAGACAACTTTTTAGAGAGAGAGAGAGAGAGAGAGAGAAAGCAATCCGAAAGATGTAGATGTATGTGTGTTTGAAGGGTGTGCTTTTAGGTGAGAGAGAGAGAGAAAGAGAGAGAGAGAGAGAGAGAGAGAGAGAGAGAGAGTAGGAATATTATTTATAAAAAAAGCAGAGAAAAAATAAAAGTAAAAACAAAAGGGAATGCTGCTGCTCTTGTGATATCAGAGTTGTGTCAGAGGATATAAACAGCTGAAAAACGAGGAAACGTCCCCTTCTGCTGCCCTAATCCTCACCCTTTCTTTTTTACTTTTTTTTTCCATTTTCTTTTAAATGGAACAACGGGGGAAATTAATCAATCTTAAGATTTACCAAAACAATCACTATTCATTAATTACCTCAAAGTAATTGGTATATATCTTATTATAACAATGTTTTGAGTTTTAATTTTATGTTTATATATTATATAATAGAATGACTTTATACTAAGTATTGATAAAAACACGAGATGACCACTTGTGGTCATTATAGCGGTTCCTTATGACCATAGAAAACGTCCAAAAAGACCTACTACGTAACTACCGATAAATTTTATTAGTACAATAGATTTCATTTTAAAATTCTTTGTCCTTCCTCCCGATTTTTGCCCTATCCCACCTTGTTCTATTGCTCTTTCTCGATGGGGAGCTAGACCTTATTCTTTTTGGGACGGTTATTCAATTGATAGTGGCCACTCCTTATGTTACTGCGGGAATAGGAGATTACCGGTAAGCCAGATGCTTCAGGAACCATATTCTTAAGGCATTTCGTTGCACTTAAATCACCCTCGTGAAGAGGCGCACTCTGATACCGTTGATGTCCAATAACTTTGATAGTAACGGCTGGATTGACTACTACCTCGTCCATTGAATATAAGAGAACAATTGATGGTATAGCAATGAAAATCTATCTCCAATAGTGCATTGAAATGGGGCTGGAGAGCCAGTTGTCTGTAAGTCGTGATGTGCCTTGAGATGGTCATCTCCCCCCCTGGTGGGGAGTCCGACCCTGTAAGGGTCTCCCCGCATGCGGCTCACGCCATTCGAGGTGGCCAACCTATGGAATCAGCGGGATGACTTCCATGCTTACACAAGTAGTTTAACACGTAATTACCTCATAGGGGCTTTTTTAAGTTAGGCTCATCCTGCATACTCATTCTGGCGGTCCCAAGTCCCGCATCCACCAAGAGTATTTCTTCCTTATAAGCATAAAACTTTAGATTTTAAGACCTTTCCACTACATAAAAAAACTAGAATTAGATCCACGAAATGATCGGCTCAAATAGATGGTCATCAAAAGCTATTTCTTTTCCTCCTCTTCSAGTTCTATTAATAAAAAGGCCATTACATACCTCTAAAACATCTTCCATTCCTCTTTCCTTTGTTCCGCTAACTACATTGATTGGATACCGTTGGGCTTGCTTGTAAAGCTCTTTTGTCGAGTGCGCGATCATGACAAGACTCGAGGAAGAAGCCCCGGCTAACTCCGTCTTTTCTTTCACCTCTCCTCTCCAATCCTCGATCAAGAACTTTTTAATATCTTAGGTGGGCCAACTGCCAAAAATTAGACCTTTTTTGTTCCACCCAAAAAAATTGAACAACATGGGACTAAACTTAAAATGACTTATTTACCCTCCACACAATACAAAATCTGAAACCTAAAACTCTTCAATTAGAGTACCTAAAACTCTCTCAACCTAAAACCCTAAATTATCCCAAATTTTCAAATCAGAAATCTGAAAACTATAACTCTCCCTAAATCGAACTCGTTCAAATCCTCCGCCAAATCGATCGTACCTTTCCCCTCTCAACTCAAACTTCTCCCGCTTCAACGTCCGTATATGCTATTGAGGATTGTTGAGTAAGAGATAGGCGGTGGTAGAAAAAGGATTTAAAAGTAGCAATAAGGATAATCGGGTGATGGTGGAAGAAGAACGCCCCAAAAGAAGATGTAGTGGTGGCGATAGGAGGAAGAGAAAGTCGTGAACTAGGTTTCTTTTGGTATGAACTATGAAGGGTTAGAAGGGGTGGGAGTTCAATAGGGGTGTTTTTAATTCAAATTTATTGTTTATTTTCTTTTTATAGTTTGCAAATATGTTTTGTTATGTCATGTTTTCTAGTTGTACCAAAAGCAGAACATACAATTAGTTTTGTTCCGTCTCGTCCAGTTCTGTCATGTCCCCTCTAGTCTTTGTACAAATGCTACCTAATAGACGATAAGACATCCATCTGCTACGTGTCCTTCATACATAAGTCACATGAGGGTATTTTGGTCATTTGATATTTTATTTATAATTTCTTTTCATGCACAAGCATTTGAAATTAAAAAGCTAAATAAACCTAAACCCACCCCACCCCACCGTTCCCTCCCCATCCCACTCGTCTCCCAATTGTCTTCTTCCGCAACCACCATTGTCTTCTGCCTGCACCACCCAACCCCATTATGCTTCCCTTCACCACCATTGCACTCCGCCTCATCCAACCTTCCTCCATCGTTTTTTGAGTTGAAATTGAAGACCCATATGACATTGACCAACAAATGGACGGGTCAAACATGCATCATCACTATGGCATTGACTCATCGGAGTTCCAATCTTCTTAATATGGTTTCGTTGTGGGAATTACCTGCCATTTCGGTCTATACACAATGACGATTGATGGAGTTTAAGTGAACCACAAGGATGATTGTTGTATTAAGATGTGCTAAATGTAATATCTCTTATCATCTTAATTTTTTTTCCTCTCATAAAAAATAGTATAACATCGAGTTTCTCCTCTCACATGAATATATATAGCAATTCACATATGAATTATAATGGATGTGCATTCAGCTTATGCTCATAATATAAATAATTTATTTTCTTTAATTAAGATTAAAAAAACATTTTGGGTTGAAATTATTATAAATGGAATATAAAAGACGAGGAGGGTCGAGTTATAAGTTAACAGCCGAGGGGGCTTATTGTCTTTTTTTCTTTGATTTTTAATTTTCTCTTTTTCTTATTATTATTTTATATATATTATTTTTATAAAAATAAAAAAGGAACTTTGATTTGATTTGGCAAAACTTGTGTGGTTGGATTGAAGAGTTTGATGATAAAGCAATTAAATCCTTTGGGGAACACTGGGCCAACCACCATTACACCTTCCACTTTAATGCTATCAAAATCGATAAATGCATCAAACTCTCCATTTTCTTTTATTTATTTATTATTATTTCTATTTTTACACACACATATATATGATTGAATTTACATGATACCAACATTTTTTTTGTGAGATCTGTGAAATCATTTTTTTATACTTGAAATTTCACAACAAAAACACTGTGAAAGTTACATTTACAGTGTTTTGTTATGAAGTTTCAAATATAAAAAGTGATTTCACGAGTCTCACGAAAACAGACTAGTCTCATGTGATCCCAAGTTTATATATATATATATATATGTATGTATATATATATATGTATGTCTCTATTTTGATATATATTGGTTTTCAACTTTATGCTTCTCTTGGACATATGATCCTTTATGTCCAAACTTTAAGAAAATGTTGTTGTCATAATATTAATTAATTATACATATTCTCATGTGATGTATTATTTTATATAATAAATGATTGCAAAGATCATAATTGGACAAGGGATTTAACCCATTTCAATTTGAGTGTCTTGCGATCTAAATTGCAAGTATGATGGGTATCAAGCGAAGACTAATAAATACTCAAAACAATCTCAATTGATAAGTGAGGGCGACGATTTTTACCATGGTAAATGTTTACCGGGTAAAATTGTTGCATACAATACTATTTTGGTGGATTAAAATCTTACCCGATAAATAAATGATAGTATTAAATTTCATCGGTAAGAGCTTACGAGGTAAATATTTAGTAAACGGCCCCTTAGTTCATGTTTAATCCATTTCAACATTTTGTCTCTAAGTCTTTGTTAATTCTTTTTGTTTCAGGGCTCATAACGTTATAACTTCTTTTTGTTAACGAACGAGTCTTATAATCGTGTATTCATTTTTTTATCGTATCAAATGATCGAAACAACAAATTTTATTTTTTGGATAAGATTCTTTACACATAATATGAAAACATAAACGTGACATCTCCATTATTGTCGGGTCAAATTTTATTTTCTACGTTTTTTCTTGGTAAAACTTAGAATTTGAAATTATGAGTTGTTTGTTTACCTCTTAATAGTTCAATTAATAGGCAACATCTGAATTCGTTAAGAGGTGAAACTTGTTTGGCAAAAAAAAAAGTTTGTCTCTTAATAATTCTAAAATCCTCTGAATGATTTTGTATCCTAGATCTTCCTTAACCATTAAGAGCCCTAATTTCATTATACACAATTACCAAACAATTATATTTTATTTTACACTATATCATAAGAGCCTCTTAATCATTTTGACAACTTACAAGATTCTTGTTTATAAGTTATTTATTGAATCATCATTAACGAACACTTTGGACATTTAATTAAGATTGTTTAATTGTGGTCAATTTAAATATTATATTTTTCAAGAAATAAATAAAAAATTAATTATATTAAGATTTGTATCTATCATAAATCAGGAGATTATCTACAAACAACAATCTTATTTAATTTAAAGATAGATTCCTCTTGTATACATATAATAATGCTAGAAGCGATCGTATAATACAATGAGATATATTTTGATTTTAATATTTCTTTTTAGAATACAGTTTTGTATGATTTTGATAAAACAATAATGATTTTATATTTGAATAAAATATAAGTTCGAAGATCTATAAAAATTTCTATCAATATCAAATTAACAACTTAAAAATTAATGGTTTTTTTATATGACATTTTTTAGTTCATTTTTTAGTATAATATAATTTTTAGTTCAATTTTTTTGTTATAATTTAATTTGAGTCTAATAACAAATTAATTTATTTTAGGTTTAATAATATAATTTTTGTTATAAAGATAATAATTAAGTATTCAGTTAGAAGTTAATGATTATCTTAATTATATTTTAGATTTTTTATATTTAAAATAAGACGTTTATTCTATATTTAATTGTGTTTATTAATTAGTTATA